CCTGCGCAGCAAGCTCTCGCCAGTCCGCAGCGGCTGCACGGCGTCCGTCAGCACGCTCGCGGGCACGGCTGGCGCCATCGGCACCGTTCAGCTCGTTCGGCACCCATCGCCTATAAATTTGGCTGCCCGTGGCCAAGGTGAGGGCGGCCCCTCGACGAAGAATATTGAGCAAGTAACTATCGCGGCAACGACCTTTAGAAAGTGCAAGTGTAAGCGCCAGATTCTTTCCCAAGACCACATGTCCCTTCCCCCACAAATCCGCGTCCGAGAGGATCAACTTGACGGCGTGCAGATCTCCTCTTGCCTCTTTTCGGTGCATGGGCTCTTTCCTGAATAGGGGGGCGTAGCGCAGCAGCTTCCAGCTGGTGCGGCGGAGGACGCGCGCAGACACTTCAGGAAAGTTTTTATCTGACTCACCCCTCAACGCTGCAAACGACGGCTCGCCGTCTAGAAGCGTGGCCTCGGCCGCGCGGGCCGCGCTGTCGCGCGGCCGCCAGCTGCCGTCCTCCTCGCGGGTGTGGCGGAAGCGACACCTCTCTTGCCAGCGGCCAACAGCAGTCACGTCCTCTGCCTTCTAGTCGGCGACCATTGACGCGTGACCCGTCTCGCAAGCATCGGTCACCGCGACCTGCGGCGACCAGGGGGCATCGAGCTGGGCTCGCAGTGTGATCAGCACCCTGCGGAAGATCCTGAGCTCCTTCCGCACGGGCGCCCAAAGTGGCCGAGCGCGCTGGAAGCCCTGCTGCACGAACGCGTACGCGGCGCTGAATCAGCTGAGGCTTTCACGGCGGCAGAGGGCCGCGAAGGTGCAGTGGCCGAAGACGTGCTCGATGTCGCCGCTGGTCACCCTGGGGCGGCGCCGCGCCAAGTAGCCAAGACCCAGGTAGGGCTTCCAGAAGCGCTTCGAAGCCAGTGTGGCGCGCGCGTGCCGCTCCTCCAGCTGCCCGCCCAGCATCACCATGGACTCCGAGGCGTCGGTCTCGTCGTGGACGGCGAGCCCAGCCGCCTCCAGCGCCTCCGAAGCCAACCGCCTAACGCGCGCCACCTCCTCACAGTCGGAGCCTACGACGAGCGCGTCGTCGACGTGGAGGGAGCGGATGGGCTCGTCGAGCGGCGACGGCGGCAGCGCGAAGTCGACCGCGCGCAGCTCGGGCCTGAGGGCGTCTCAGCTGCCCAGCGCGCGCTCGTGGGCCTTCTGGGCGAAGTAGAGCGCCCAGCTCCAACCCATCGGCGCGACCGCCAGCTGCGGGCGCAGGATTGCAAAAAAACGAAGGATTGCAAAAAAACGAAGGATTGCAAAAAAACCGAAGGATTGCAAAAAAAACGAAGGATTGCAAAAAAACCCTTTGCAATCGCGCGTCCACGGCGCCATGCGGCGCCCGTCCAGCCTGCCGATGCCCAGCTCGCCGGCGGTGACCGGGGGCAGGCAGGAGAGCGGCCGCAGGTGGGCGGGCAGCTTGTGCTGGTAGAGCGCGTTCTGTACGTCAACCCCCGCAAAGTAGAGCGGGGCCCCCTCGGGCACCTGCAAGTCCGCGAAGCCCGCGGCGGAGAAGAGGTTGACTGGCGGAGGAGGCTGAAAACGTTGATCGCTCCTCCGGAAGACGAGCGCCATCCTGATACGGGCATCCTTCTTGGCCACAAAGAACACCCCGACGTCCTCGATCCTGGTCTTGCCAGCCACGATGACGCCTCTGGAGATCCCTGACTTCACAAACTCTCTGTACATCGTGCGATTCCTCTCGAGCACAGGGTCCATGTATAACGAAGGCCTCCCGCCCTCCTCCACGACTGCGTCGAAGCTCGGTGACCGCAGCAGCAAGGCGTGGCTGAGGTCGAGGAGCGAGCAACGATCGCCAGGCCCGAGTCGGTCAGCAAGCCAGCCAGGCTCGTTCCCAAGGTTGGGCCAGCTCACGAGGTGCGGTGCATACGGCCTCAGCGGTAAGTCATGTGAAGTGTCGTAGTGCAGACACGGGCGGCCCAGAAGCTCTGAACAGGCTTCCTGGGCCGACGCACCCGCCGGGGCCTCCATCTGACGATGGAGACGACGGATGCGTCGAAGTAGAGGTCGTCCATATCCGAGAGGCGCTCTGGCCCGCACCGCGGCGTACTGTAGCCCCCAAGCAGGTTGAGGCACTCCACGGTGTCCCGAGTACGCTCCTCAATGGACCGAGTACGCCAAAGGCGTGCCCGAACCGAGCGGGAAAGCCCAGGCGGAGGTGGAGGAGCAACTGGCGCGGCAGGTGCAGCAAAGGGCAGCACCCCATCGCCAGGAGGATGGCCATCAGCAGGCCGACACAACTGGCTCTCGCGAAACGGCGGACGGGTCGAGCTACCTCCCGCCCGCTGACTCCAGTTCACTCCTGTCCCTTCTTGCCTGAGGAGGCGCTCTTCTCTTCGCGCGCCTTCCTCCTCTGCTTCTGGATCTCGGTCTCCTTGGCGAGCTGCTCGGTCGCGTACTTGGCCAGGCCTGGCGCTACCGCGACCCCGCGGCGAGCACTCTGCTTCAGGCGGCCGACATAGTGCTCGACCCCCTCGATCTTCATGCTGCCCACGGTCTCCTCGACAAGCTGGTACGTCCTTGCCACTACCTCCATGCAGGCCAGGTTCGAGCCATCCACCTGATCGTAGGTCTGCGCGAACTCGATCGCGAGCCCGAGGAGGTCGTGGAAATGAGCCGCCGCCGAGTTCTTCGTGCAGCCGCTCTCGCTCATCCACTTGGTCTGGCGGCCATCGGGCGTCCCGCCGTGCTCGACGCTGTACTCGCAGAGCCACTTGTAGCTCCGCTCTCCAGACAGCGGGAAATCGTCGAGCACCTCATGCCGCATCTGCGCCGCACGCTCGCGGACGTCGAGGTGGCGTCGTCCCTCGCGGTTCCTGGCGAGTGGACCCAGGAGGCGAGCGTCGTCGTCCTCTTCACCACCTGGCCTGATGGGAGAGGCAGAGGCAACCAGCTCCATGGGCACGATGACGCCGGGCGGCAGACCGTGAAGCCCGCTGTCACCCAAGACGACGTCGCCCGCGAGCGGGAGGATCTCGTCGCCGCGCTTGACCTCCGACCCCGCCGCCTTGGCAGCAGTCCAGGTCATCCCTGGAGGCGGCGCCTCCGCGCTGACCAGCTCGCGGGCACCGACGGTCCCAGGCGGCGGGGTAGCGGTCCCACCGACAGCCGCAGGCTCGTCGTCAGTGTCGTCCTCAAGCCCCGGCGGCGCCGCGGCGGGCGCGGGCAAGGGCGGGCCAGCTGGGGGCGGGGCGGCGGCCGCCGCCGGCGCTAGCGCGGGTCCCTTCCGAGCCAGCCGCCGATAGAAGCCAGGCACCTCACCGAAGCTGACCGCGGTGAAGCCCCCCAGCACCTCGCCGTTCCGCACGTATGTCGACGGCTTGGCGACGTCCAACCCCGCGGCCCGCACATCACGCCGAGCAGCTCGCACCATGTCCAGCAGCTCGGGCTCCGAGGGGTAGGCGCGGAAACGGTAGACGTGGCCCGCGGGCCGCTGCCGAGCAGGGGTGGCGCCGAAGGTCAGCGACGCCTTGTCAGGGCCGTCCCCGTCCGCGCCGCTAGCTATCTCCTCGTCGTTGATGTCACCATCGGGCGTGAGGATGGTCCACCTCGTCGCAGGCCGCTGCGAATCGGCAGGCCAGATCAGCACGCGCTCGTGCCAGATGCCGCGATCGTCGTCGTAGTGGACAGTGGCGACGCGGCCTGGCAGCAGCTCATTGAAGAACTCCGCCGCCTCGGCGGCGCTCCCCTCGGCCCTGAGCAATTGCAGGCGCGGCATCAGCGCCATGTCGACTGCGGTAGACCCCGCACGTGCCCACGATCTGCGTGACGATGCCCGTCACCCCGAGCCCGAGGGTGTGCGCGTAGAACGACCCCGCGTCCGAGCCCTGCTGGGCCTGGTGCGAGCGAACCTCGCGGAGCTCCGAGGACAGCAGGGGCACCTTCGCGTGCAGCCGCGCGAGGTCGTCCAGGCAGCCCGACAGGTTGCGAGCGTAGGCGGCCGCTCGCTCCGCCTCGCGCGCCGCCGCCGCGGCCTGCAGTGCCGCCGAGGGCGGCTGTCCAGGGGGCCCCCGCCGCCGCCGCCGCGCACAAGGCCTGGCCACCAGGCGTCCAGCGCACACCAGGCACAGACGATCAGCCACGGAGGAGCCTGCGGGAGCGGAGGGCGCATAGAAACTCAGGTGCTCCCTGGAGGTAAAAGACTTGAGCGAAATAGAACGGACTCTGTGCCTCAACCCCCTACACGTTCGCAGGACAAGTCGGAGCTCCGTGCGGATTTCTTGGATCTGCACTCGGTTTGGCCCCTGACGGCGCCTTCAGCGTCGATCCGAGTCATCCGTGCGGAGCTCCGAGACTTATATCTATGTTGCGATTCGTGTTCTTATTCGTGTTAGTAGTGGTCTTATTCTTCTTTCTGCTTCTTCCCCTACTTCTTTTCACGTTTCTGTTTTGTTGTTCTTCTTTCTCTTCCTCGTCTTCTCTTGGATTCGCCTCCCCCGCCCCCCTCATCCCTCGTCTCCGCATCGGCCCCTTCTATCTCTCCAGTTCCCCTCCATTGTGCCCATTACCCCCTCCTGCCCTTCCCAGGAAGGGGAAGACGGGGAGTCTAGTGAGTGGGGGAGGGTACAGAGGAGCAAGTCGGAATATCAAGAGCAGGGTCGGACGGGGGATGTGGAGGCGACGGATGGTGATGAGGATGACGAGAAGGAAGAGGAGAAGCAGGAGGAGGAGGTGGACGACGACGACGAAGACGAGTCCTTCTCCTCCGTCCGGGAAAGTCGTGAGGTGATGGCCCTTCGGGGGGCCGGCCTGTTCTGTCCGAGCCACGCAAGCGGCGCGGGAGCGGTCGGGAGGAACGGGATGGGGAATAGTCGTGTCGAAATGGAGGGATAGGTAAAGGGAGGGGTCGACATCTGCTGTGCGCAACTGGTTTCGGCCCCTCCGAGAGTCAGATACGTGAGCTGACTCGCGACCCCCCCAATTCGCCCGACCCAAATTTCGTAGCCGTTTTGGCTCAAGCACCTCTCAAGAGTCCTGCCAGAGAACCCACCACGTCGCTATCTGAGCGACCGCCAGCGCGCCCGACACCGAAGCCCACTGGACACCAGGCATGGCCGCCAAGTCAGGCACTATCCCCGCCGCGCCTGATCAGCACACGACGGTTGTCGCCGCGGGCACAGTCTGGACGAACGTGAGCGGCAGCAACATCGACTGCCGGACCGAGCCAGACATGGGGAAGAAGGCGGGCAAGACTGTCAAGGCGGGGGAGACGATCGCTGGCGTCATGGAGGTTGACTGGCGGCTTGTTCCTCCCTGCGAAGCACCCGGTGACGGGGTCTGTGAGATAGTGCATGTGCGACGTGTGTATATGCACCACTCGCTGCCAATCGCCGCCGTTTGACCTCTAGGGGCCCATTTTTGCAATTGCGCTAAAACGCATCATAATCACACAGGTAGCGGAACTACCACACGATCCCCGTATCGTACCACTGCGCGCACGTCTCATCAAAGAGTGTCGCACTACCTCTCTTTACTTTCTGTGCTGGCAGTTTCCCTCGCTAGGGGACTGAGCCTTGCGCTATGGCGCTTGCCTCTCTTCGCTATCGGCCGAGCGCCGACGCGCTGACGCGGTCCGAGACGAAGAGTGGCTCCTACATCTACGACGGCACGGTGAACAACTTGCACGAGTGGGAATTCCGCACAGAGATGCGCATGAGCGTCGCCTTGGCCTCAGTGGATCAAGAGACGGGTGCACCACAGCAACACGTGATCACCGCAGCTGTCAACAAGGTTGTACAAGGCCTCAGAGGTGACGCATTCGATATTGCCATGGATATCGGTAAGGACGTGCTTCTGACTCCGAATGAGATCGATCAGTTGGTGCTGGCGATTCGTACTTCACTTTTCCCATGCAGGCGCAGGAAGCGAAGATCCTGTTCCAGGTGGGGCAGAGACCATATGGACCACTGTCTCGACAGCACGGTGAGTCTATGGCCTCGTACACCTCCCGGAGGAAGCGTTGGTGGCAACTTGTGTCCAAATTAGATCTCAAGATCTTGATGAGCGACGATATGATTGGCTCCGTTCTCTTGGACCATGCAGGCCCCTCGCCTTCGGGGAATCTGATGGTGTTGAAATCCACAGGGAATGTGACAACCTTCGACAAGATTAAGGACGTCTTGATCCTCCAGCACGGCCGCATACACATCCGCCAAGGCAAGGGCGAGTCTGACAAAGGCTCCAGCTCTTCGACGTGGACGCAGCCCAGACCCAGCTACCAGAACAGGAGCAAGGGCAAGGGCAAGGTGCGCTTCTCCAGGCCACAACGCGCCTTCTACACTGCTGATGAAGGATGGTACGAGCAGGGGGAACATTACCCTGAGGAGCTTGAGTCCCGACGGATACTACAAGTCCGGCCATGCGCCCGAGCGCGGCTGGGGCGACACGACCTCGGGCGACTGCGCCGACGAACGCGCCAGCGTCGACGGGGAATCGCGTGCTCACTGGGCCCCTCTCCAGGATAGCAGCGAGCTCGACGTCGAGATGGCCGACGAAATGGTCGAGGCCGGGTTCGCGGAGAAAGAAGTTTCTGACGCGATCCAAGAGGGCCTTGTCGCCAACCTTGGCACCAAAGGGAGGGGCAAGGGTGCAGGAAAGAGCTGGGGCAAGAGTTGCCACTGCGCGCCCTGGTCGCCCAGGGGGGGCGGCAAGGGAGGACCTTCCCTGGAAAATCGCAAGAGTCGGCTCCAGGAAACCGAGGAACTCTCGAAATGCAAGACCTGCCACGAGACAGACCACTGGTCCGGGGGCCCTGAATGCAGGGGCACGCCCAGGGCGGCAAGTGTAGCGCGCGCTGGAGGCGCTGGCGAGCGCCATGTCCAGTTGCGCGATGACGATGATCAAGGGAAGTTCATCTGTCCGTTCTGTTGCTGCGCCGCCATCAATCCCTCATCCTATCACTAGGAATAAAGAGGTGTCGATGAGGATGGATCCCGGTGTTTCTCGTTTCTGCTCCTCTTTCTCTTCTCGCGTCTTGCGTCGCAGGGCAAGTGTGCGAGGGGGGGAATTGCGGCGGACAGCGCAGCTTGCAGTACAACCACGTTGAGCATCATGTCCGCGAGCATTGCATGGGCATGACCGAAGCTGCTCCGGTCCAGGATGCTCCAGAGCTTCAGGAGAAGAGTCTTCAGACCTCTGCAGAGGCGGGGGGGGGGCACTCTTGGGTTCATGGGTATTCGCTCAGCCGAATCTTATTTCATGGCTCGCGTTTCTGATAAGGAGTTTGAGGAGGAGGAATCTGTTTCGGATCCTATCGCTGTCCCTGGTCAGGATGCTTTGTTTGCCTCGGGTAAGCACAAAGGGCTTCGCTATTGTCGCGTTCTCAGGGGTACTCCAGATTGCGTGGATCGAGGGCGCAAGGCGAAGAAACCGAATGAGGATCTGGTTCTGTTCTTAGGATGGGCCCATAGCAAATTTACTCGGAAGGGGGATGGACAGTTTGCGAGAGTTTCGGGACCGATAGTTTCCAGTATCAAAGTTTTGCCTTCTTCGAGTTCTTCCTCTGGCCGGAACGGGCGAACTCCATGTCCCCCGTTGCCTCGTCCATGTGCTTGAGGTTGTGAGAATATCTCCGGAGTCGGTTCTACTGCTCGTTTCATTGTTCGCACATGCGAGGATCGCGGGCACGAGACCAAGAAGGGGAGGTGCACGGCGCTGCGCTCTGTGGGCGAGCGCCCGCGCGATCTCGTAGATAATCGCGGCAGTGCTCCAGATGTTGTTCGTTCGCGTTGTTGTCGCTGCCTGACATTTACCGATGAGCAGCCCAGGTAGCCGGCAGAAGACCAGAAAGCAACAGCTAGGAAAGTTGAACGCCCAAGCAACATCCAAGCAGAAGCGATCGATCATATTATTGGGCATGATCGCCGCGCCACCTCTGTAGAGCTAAAGGTTGTACTTATGGCTTCCACAAAACGCGTTGGTGAGATCTGCGATGATACGGGTGACATTAGTACCGGTGAACTATCCTCGTTGCTTCGCGACCTGTGTCGCAGAAGTCGCAGATCACAGTCTTGTCTGTTTCGTGGCCCCAGCGCAGAACGGTTCGACCGAATTTTCGGATTCGCTTATGCTTCGCGCGGTTGATGTCTTCAGGGACGAAGGTGTTTGGGCTATTCCAGACGAGGGTTGTAATTCTTGTTGCCGTGGTAAAGCTTGGGCTCTTAACGCAGAGGATCAATTCGATAGATAGGGCTTATATCCTAAATGGTCTCACATGCAGCGCAAGACGCGCAGCGCTAGCGGATGACTGGCAGGGAGTGAGACGACAGATAAGGAGAGTTTTCCGTTTCGTATCGTTGCATCTCGTGTTGCCGTGAGTGGGCGTCTCGAGTCGCGCCGGTTGAAATATTCGGATCGTGTTTCCTTCTAGTTGTCTCTTTCTGCGCGGGTTTCCCTGGGCATCGTGGTGGATCTTGCTGATGGTCGCGCTCTCTTGAATCAGGAAAGTGAGGTGGGAATTTGTCGTCGTGCTCGCTGAGGTCTCCTCATCGTTCGCCTTGATCAGTTTGACAAAGAGTACGTTGCGGATTCCATTCGTCCGTTGCACATTTCGCATTTCAGCAGCTGCGCAGCTCCCGCCGGCCGCGCCGCGCCGCCCGCTGTCGTCGATCACTCCAGTGACGACGGGGCCACGTGTGTGCCTGCGCCCGTCGGTTACTCCAGTGGCGACGAGGACGCGCGGGTCGCTGCCGTGGCTGCTGGTGCTGGTGTTCGCCCCACACCACAGGGCTCGAAGTTTGCTTTGATCACGCTGGGCTTGGAGAACTTCGGGAAGAACCCGAGGTGCTCGGGGTCGTCGATGCTGAGAGAGTACATCCGCCGTTACCATTGCTCCAGTCATGACATGACTACCAGAGGGCGCGACGCCAATGCCATCATAGATGCGCTCATTGCTGCAGATGAGGACATGGCGAACTATGATCGCACGTGTCGGTGGACACCAGGGCTCTGGACGACCCGACCCACGCGCGCCATATCAGTCATCATCCGAAAATCTCACGCAACTCAGTTGACTAAGCATTTTTTCTTGGTATCACTCAGTTCGTGGGAAAAGCTGTGGCGAAGAACGAGTATTCACAGTCTGTGTGCATTGTTGTCATCGGTCGTACTGGTCGGCATCGCTCTGTTGCTGTAAGTTCTGGTGTTAAGCAGTTCGCGAAGCAGTATGACATTGAATGCAGTTCTGCACGCCTGAGTCGTCATGAGTGGTGCCGGCGTACATGTAACGGAGAATGCGATGACTGCTGTCGCGTATCCGATTGGGGCCGTGAGATGGCGCGTTCTGCGACTGACAGGATGGTTTCGCTCTTTACTGAATCCTTCAAGAAGTTCAGTGCACCACCGCCTCCAGTTCCTGAGCGGTCTGCCAAGAACAGACTCCGCGACGGGGCTGAGCTGGCCAGGAGCGAGGAGGAGAGATCTCGCGCTTCATCGGGTGGTCGACGGAGTAGATGATAATGGCGTGGCCGCTGTCATCCGTGAGCACATCAGAACGATCTGGGGCGATTCTTGACGCTGACTATATCGAGGCAGATTTCAAGACCATGATGAAGCGATATGCTGGGAAAGGGCTGCAATTCTATTCGAAGAAGTGTCACGAGGCCAACAGTCCGCCTGCATACTATGCGATTTGTACGTATTGCTCGTGAGCATGCAGAAACCGGTATATAGCCCAAATCTGTTGGTGGTAGTATTCCCGGTGCTGCTGCTTCACCGCCGCCCGTCGCCGCATCGCCTTCTGCCGCTGCATTGCCCCCTTCATATCGGGCGCGCGATCTGCAGGGCGATGGCGACGACGCGCCGGAGAGGAAGGCCCGCGTCAGCAGCGCCAGCAAGGTGACGGGTCTGCCGCTGGGCGAAGCAGCACCTCCGGGCACGGTCCTTCGCCCTCCTGGACTGTCTCCTATGATGCCGCCGCCCAAGCAGAAGCCCGCTGTCCTCGCGCCGAGGCAGCCAGGCGGGCCGCCGCCTGCGCGCCTCAGGACTCCCCTGCCGCCTCCGCCACCGGAGCCGCCGCGCGGGGTCGAGCCGCTGCCGCCGCCGCCTCCGCCTCCAGCGAGTATTGTTGCCGCCGGCAGCGACGAAGAATCGAGCGAGACTCGGGCGTCTCCTTCAGGATCCCCGACTTCCCCTGTCGAGAGGGACCTGGCCACGGTGTGTGGTGAGCTGGCCAGAGATCCAGTCGCGGACTTCAGTTGGCGCAGACCAGCTGGATTCGCTTTTCGAGCAGGGCAAGAAGCAGGGCAAGAAGAGGAACTTTACCACGCGCGTTGATCCTCGATCGTTCCCAGTAGAGGGGTCGACGGGCCGCGCGGAAGAGCGGGGCGCTGAGATGATGGCGCGCGTGAGCTGCAATGTTGATCCGTTCAACACTCAGACCAAGTTCCCGCCGGCATGGTCTTCCCAGAAGAAGAGTTCCATGGGTCGCATCAAGGACACCCAGTCTTGGGGGCGTATACAATATCGTGATGCCATGAATTATTCAGTGGATGCTGAGGAGTTTGATTGAGTGGCAATATTTGTGCAGCCTCTGAGGATCCGCGTTGACGGAACATCGCATTTGTGCACACCACTGCAGCTGGACCAGCATGAGATGATTACCATGACTGCTGATCGTCGTGCCATATATTGTTCTGGGTTGCGTAACATCCGTACGCAAGATGAGTTATTATTTGCGTGTGTCGCCGGGCTGTCCGCACCAGGCATGTCTGCCATCGACAGGGAGATCGTCGAGAAGGTGATCAGGAACACCGATCCGCTTCGCGGACGAGTGGGGGCAAACCTGGCCAGGGTGCTGCTCTACGTCATCGGCGTCGCGTTTGCCTGCCCAGCCTCGCGCGACACGGCGGCGCGCCCAGATTGGGAACCATCGATGGCAAAAAAACATCTTCGAGCACAATCCTGATCTCGTTGTCGCCTACACATCATCATCGAGTCATCATGTGATCAGTGATTGTTTTTTTTCTGGTTTGGCTCAAGATAATGGTCCTGTAACTGTTGCGCGCGGTTATGGGCTTGGTTGCTCAAGCCTTCAGGTTACTAGTGCGCTGAATTCGTATATCGAGTGAGGCGCAGACATCGCGAGACAGAAATTCCCCATTCCTTCAAACAGTTAGACCTGACAGACTAGCACTTACAGCTCCCCCCGCTGAAGCCGCAGAGGGGGGAGTTCAAGGCGACGCGGGCGCGATCATCGGTCAGACAGTTTGGTCATGCGCCTAATCGTTTTCTCAAGCAGCTACTGAAATCTCCAGAATGTCGTTGGATTACATTGAAGCCGCCGAGAGTTACCGATGAGGATCTTGCGAACACTGCAATCCGTTAGCTCAGACTCACAAGGTTGCCTTGCCCAAGAAGTCCTGCTTCGACCATGGAACCGGCATCGACAGTCTAGAGGTACAGAACAACAGTGGAGAACGTTACACCTTCCTGAACGTAGTGTTCCAGAGTGCAACATTTCAGCGCGTGATCTTTGCCATGCAGGGAGGTGGTACGCCATCTTCGAGAGCATGCCTCGCTGCACTTCAGCAACGCTGGCGCGCATGGGCAGGTGGGCCCAAACGAATGGTGTTAGACCGTGGGCTGCGCGACAGAGGAGTGTTTCTGCATTGGTTAAGAGTCAAGGGATCGACCTCCGCGACGCTGGAGTCGAGTCCCTCGAGCAGATAGGCCGCACCGAGAGACGCGGTGGACTTTGGAAGGTAGTCTTCAAGAAGGTGGTGCACGACAAGAATGTCACTGGAGTCGATGAAATCATCCCTATTGCATCAGAAGTTGGCGAGACGAAGAATGAGATGTCACGAGTCGGCGGATTTGCGCCCTCTGAGCGGGTACTTGGAAAGGTGCCTCGCGTCCTAGGGAGTCGATTCGACGACGAGGGAACTCTCGACTTCGGATTTCTTGCGAATGTTGCAGAAGACGGAGCCGACGAGTTTTCTCGCCGGGCGGCGATCCGGGCGTCTGCCAGAAAAGCACGCGCAGAACACGACGTCGGGAGTAGGGCGGCAAGCGCCGCTCTCCGAAAGGCAACACCACTAGCTGGATAATATCCAGTAGGTGATATAGCGTACTTTCGCAAACGGCCAACCGACGGCGATGTTACCGCTAAGTGGAGCGAGGGTTCCGTATCGTTGGGTTCGACGGCTAGAACGCATGGGTTATCGCAGAGGGCGCGCCTGTCTGCGCGGTTGTCGACAGGCTTCGACCGTGTGCTGCGGCGGAGGCGTTGGCATGCCAATATCTGTCTAAGCTCCATGACGGTGGAGCTGAAAGATATGCACCTCCAGACGGGCAGCAGCAGTACTTCGTGGACGAAAGACGTGAGCTGCCATAACCACGGGCGCAAGAGCATCCCGCGCAAGAACATCCTATGGCGACGGAAGAGCTGCCGAGGATCCCAGAAGACCCAGGGTTCATAGAATAAGCATTTCGCCAAATGGAACTAGATGAACTGTCTGATGGCATGGTTGTTCCTGCGCCGCCTGCGCTGAGATCGCCGCAAGTGGCTCGAACGCCCCTTCAGAGGTCGCTACTGGACGACGCCCCGCACGGTATACAGAGTCGTAACGAAGTGGTGCGCAGAAGAGTCGAGAATGCCGATGGTAGCGCGGGAAGGTCTTCCGATTCTGTCTCGGAGCCAGCTCCCGAACCAGCGAACCCACTTCTCGAGGCCATGCGCAGGGCCGGAACATCAGGGCCGGGCATGGATCTTCTAGCCCACAACCGTTCATAAGCCGCCATCCAAGAGGAAGATAAAGAGCGCAAAGAATCTGTTATATCATCGAGAGTCTGAGGACGTTAAAGCGGTATACGACTGGCAAGTCAAGACGAATGGAGAAGATGGCGGAAGTTCAACGCCGCCGTACCTATTGATTCCGTGGAACTGTAAAATCTCCTCCACGAAAGATACCGCATGGTACCTGCGCAGTGGATTGAGATTAACAAGAAGGAGCATCTCCGTAGACTGGTTGGACCTTCGGATGCACCGCAGTACAAGAGTAGACTTGTCGTGCGTGAAGATCTGGAAGAGTCGTTGGGCATCAGCGCGGATTCACCACAATGCGAACTAGAAGGGCTAAGGTTGATAGTATCCCGGGCTGCCGGTGCAACTAAGACGCTCAAGTGTGCCGACATTGCACCTGCGTGCTTCCAGGGTCAGGAACTCGACCGCCTCGTGCTGCTCAAGCCACCGCCCGACGGACTTGAAGGAGCGGTGGAGCACTGATCGCGCGCATGCCGGTCTATGGCATGCGCGACGCAGGACAAGGTTTGTGGAAGAAGTTTCGCAAAAGGTTTGAAGCTCAGGTCTAGAGGGGAATCGTCGCATGCCTGCTTTGTTCAGTATTTACAATGACAAGAATGAGATTACGTGTATGTCAGGTACACATGTGGATGACAAACTGTGGGCTGCAGATAAAGAGTGTCAGAGAATCCTCGATTCGGTATTAGCAGAGTTTGACACTTGCGAGATCAAGTCGGATAATTCCCGTTCTTGCGGCTTAGAAGTTGTTCAAGATGAAGAACTCACGGCGGGTATCGTGGCCGCGGGCAATATTGTGAAGATCGAAGCTGTATCCTATCCCAGAGACAGCCCCCTCAAGAGAAAATGCAATGATGGCGAGACAGCGCCGCTGATATCGGTCACACGTGCCTTGTCATGGGTTTCACGTCAATGTAAACTAGAGCTCGTGAATCGTGCGATCAGACTGCAGACAGCAGTGCGTCGCGCTAAGGTGCTCCATCTCAAAGAAGCCAACCGTGTATTGGAAGAAGCAACTCGGTCCGCTGACTGTGGGTTAGCATCCAAAGGTGGGGCTGTTAAGTGGAACCAATACATGATAGTTCTTACTGTTACTGATGCCAGCTGGGCAGGAGAGGAGGATATAGTCAAGGGTAGAATCGATCCTCCCAGATCAAAGAGGGCTAGGTTCAAAGGGCTCGCAGGGCCTGGATTCATCGAGGGGAAAAGCGATCATGTTCACCCTATATATATATATTGTGGTAAAGATATCAAGCGGGTATGTAAACTACACTACGAGCAGAGACTCTGGCTTGTTGATGTGGTTGAGAATCTGGTGCGCGCATTCGCGCCGCCATCTCAGATGCGCGTGGTATGTTTGGCACAGGATAGAAACTGCCAGCCAATTTGGAAGACAAGCCAGCCATGTCTATGAGACACTTATGGATGACGGATTGTAGAAGCCATGAAGAACGCCTAATAGCCCCAACTACTGATACGACAGAAGATTAGCGCAGGAGTGCCGATTTGGGTAGTTTAAGACAGATATTTGGACTAATGGAACAGGAGAGGTAGAGGTTTTACATCCACGCATATTTTGCGATAAGACCCGATGGATCGATACAAGTGTACTGGCCGCTGATTGTCTGACGAAGAATATGCCTACGGATTTCCTTGTGATGACCTTACGTGCAAGTTCGTATGACGTAACTCCAGACCCTGAATATACATTAAAGAAGGTCTAGAAACACTTGGCGAGGGCCAGAGTGAATGCTATCCCATCGGGGAAGTGAGTGACTGAGTCCTGGCTGCCTTGACTTGACTAATCCCAACATGGGAGTGCTCCTTTTACTGCCCCTAGATGCTTACTCAGACCAGCGGTACTGCGCGGTCTGCCGGCTAGCTCGTGATAAAGTTTCACGGGTGTGCGATAGTGCGTGTGTGACGTGTGTGTGTGTATATATATATATATATGCACCACTCGCCGCCGTTCGACATCTAGGGGCCCCTTTTTGCCATTGCGCTAAAATGCATCATAATCACAGGGTCTGTTCTGTTCGAGTTGGCCCCGCCGCCTGCCCCGCCCAGCCGGGAAATCGTGAGCGGCAGCAACATCGAGTACCGGACCGAGCCAGACATGGGGAAGAAGGCAGGCATGACGATCTCGCCCGGGCATGTGGTGGCTGGCGTGCTTGAGAACGGGTGGTTGAAGACCACCGACGGCCTGTGCTTCCCGGCGACGTCGCCCCCGCCCAGCCATCGTTTGTGGCTGTGGCTGGCGGGACAGAGCCACTGGGGGAACCGCCTGGCGGCAACTGGATGGAAGCGCGCTAGATAGGCCCAGTGACGCTCTGCATATATTGCTGCTGCTTCTGGCCCATCATTCCATGCCCGATCGACACGAAATAGGTCTACAGGGCACCAGACGGCAAGATGTACAACTCCACCGGCAAAGAGTTCGACCGATGCCTTGGGGGTGAATGAGCCTGCCCCGCTGTTTTTTCCAGCCAGATGCAGCTGAAGACTTTCAAGACCCGCTAGTGTGCCCCCTCCTGTTCCTCCTCGAGCCGACGGTGGGGGGGCGCGGTGTCGGCGCGCGCGCCACACGGGCTCGGAGGAGCAAGGCTTTGTGGTGCACAGTGCCGCGAGGGCCGATCCTAATTAGCCGCACGCTGTTTCTCTCAAGATTTTCACGCGCGGGCTCCTTAATACGTGCTGCATGCCGATTTCGCAAGTAGCTTCTCCATGCTCGCTGTTTCATTGGCGAGGGTGACGAAAGGAGAGAAGACGACAAGCAGGAACAGAAGCAGGAGGGCTCACTTCCTTCTCTCTGTCCTCCGCCAAAACACTGCTTGCTGGCGAGTGGCGCGTCGGCCGCTGTTCGTCCCTCCGGCGTGCAAGCCGCAAATCGGAGGCAAAGACGTAGCAAAGCATTTAATGTTTCGCGGAGAGGAAAAGCATCGCCCGAGCCGAATAGGTACGAGGAGAAGGTATTAGGAAGAAAGGAGCTGTACGGAGGTCCTGGGGAACGCTTGGGGCTCGTAGGGTTTCGAGGAGCATTCAATAAAAGGATCAGGGCACGGGGGCTGGCGACGGTTCCCGTTTTCACGCAAATTCGAGCCGTTCCGTCGCTAAATCGGGCGGCATTGCTTTCGTGTTTCGGGGGGCATCTTCCCGATCCGTGCATCTGATTCCCATGCGCCAGATCCACGGATCCATATTTAGCCCACGTCACCGGGTCGCTCAGGAACGCCCGCGGCATACACACACATGCACTAGTAACTAATCATGAGTTCCCGCCATGGTCGTATCCTGTCTTCGCCTTACTGCCTGTCGAAGAACTGTACAGGGTGAATCCCCACTCTCCCCCTTCTCTTCGCCTGGGAGGGGGGATGGCTAAATGGAAATCGAGAGATTCGTGGCTCTTTCCCTGGAGGATTGTCGTCGTCGACGTCTCGTCTACCTCTTCGTTGGAGTGTCGTCCCCGGTATTGTTCCCCCTCCCTTCGCGGATGTGTTTTCGCCGTTGCTTTCATCGTCGTTGTCGTCGTGTCGCTGTCGTCTTCGTCGTCGTCCCCAGCATTGCGCATCCCACCCCTACCACTCTCTTGTTTTTATTCGCCCGATGCGCCGCCGGCAGCTGGCGGCTATGTTGGGAGACGGAGAGATTTACGAGCATTCCCCAAGATATTTGTCCTGCACTCAGCAGCGATTCCGCACTTGCCTCTCCTGGTCGTTTGGGCCTCCGAAGGCATCTCGGCGGCGCACCCCGGGGGGAAGGCAGAGGGGGCGGGTCTTCTCAGAAGGCTCCGGAGGCCTCCAGCCCTCTGAGATGCTTCCTACGCCTTCTACGAAGACGCAAACGGCTCTCCAGAAGTGGCTCTGCCAAGCCCCGCCGCTTATACCCCCTCACCTTTCCCCCCCTCGGCGCGCAGCGGAGCTTCACTGAGATCCGACGTTGCGAAGAAATAACAATATTCGAAACATTTCACGACTGGAACCCTATAGGCCCAACGTTTTGGCTGCATCTTTTCAAACTGGATCGATCTGCGATGATACCAGGGCCCACGACTGGGCGAAAACATCCGGTGCGAGAAAAAATACAACGCCCCGATCTCAGGGCCGGCGCGCCGCCGAGTTTCCGAGGGCCCCCGAGGGCCTCCGGCGGCCTCCGAGGGCTTCGGCGACCTTCCGAGGGCTTCCTAGCGCCTCCAGAGAGTTTTTTGATCCCCTGGCGAACACGGGCGTGACGGGGAGGGAGGCTGAGGAGCGGGGGTAGCGGGCCGGTCACGTCACGGTTCGCGCCTGCGCCGTCTGAGGGAATGCCCAGGCACGGCGGAATGGTTCCTTCCCGAACGGCGGCCGCTGGCGCGAATCCTGGCTTGACCAGGGAAGGGGGGGGGGGGGAGGCCGGGCCGGCCGCGGGCGCCATCGCGGCTGATGCGAAAGTGGGCTCCGAGGGCCTCCAGTGGCCCTTCGGAGGCCTTCCGAGGGCCGCCCTGGGCTGGCGGCGCCCGCGCGGGGCTCACTGGCGGCGCGGGCGCCGCGCGGCGCAGGGCGGCGCGCAGGCCGCCTTCTGAGCGCCGCGAGCCGGCGCCGCGGGGGCGCGCCGAAGAGCGTCGTGCCCTCCAGGAGGGGAGGGGGGTCAAGCAGGGGCGAGGCGTCCCGACTCGCATAGTAGGCCCCGCAGGGGATGTGCTGAGGACGTTTTCCTGTGGTCTGCACGAAGTGTTCTCAGGGCAGTTCTGACTGAGATGGGCTTGGTTTAAAGCATCGGTCCCATGTTCTAAGATCATTGCTGATGCGATTGGAACGCTTTTTGTTCTAAGAATATTGCGAAGGCCTTACGGCCAGTGCCGCCGACCCTGAGAACGACGAAGATGAAAACGAGGGTGGGCAGGGGGAGGAGGATGAGTGGGAGGTGGAGGAAGTGTGGGGGAGGTGGATGAGGGAGGAGGAGGGGGGAGAAGGAATTGGAGGAGAAGCAAGAGGAGGAGAAGGAGGCAGAGGAGAGCAGGAGGAGGGGGAGCAGAGGAGGGGGAGGAGGAGGAGAGGAGGGAGGAGGAGGAGGAGGAGGAGGAGGAGGAGGAGAGGAGGAGGAGGAGGAGGAGGAGGAGGAGGAGGAGGAGGAGGAGGAGGAGGAGAAGAAAAAGAAGAAGAAGAGGAGCAGGAGGAGGAGGAGGAGGAGGAGGAGGAGGAGGAGGCCAGAGGCTTTCTTGGGACAGCCTGGGGCTCTCTTGAGGCCGTCTTGGGCCGTCCAGGGCTCCTCTTGCGCCGTCTCGAGGCACTCTCGGAGGCCTCCTGGGCAAATTTGGGGCTCTCCTGGGCTGTCTTGGGGCAATCTTGGGGGCCTCTTGGGCCGTCTTGGAGGCGTCTTGGAGGCGTCTTGGGGCCCTCTTCGGCCGTCAGGGGACCTTCTTGGGGGCCTCTTGGGCCGTCTCGGGGCGATCTTGTGGGCCTCTTGGGCCGTCTTGGCGCGTCCGGAAGCGGAAGAGGCTCGAGCGCCAAAACCTTCCAAAAACGTATGGGAAATCCATGAATTTTGCCTCTTGGGGCTCTCGTGGGAAAGCTCCTGGAGGCCTCTTCGGGCGCTTTCCAGGCCTCTTGGGCCGTCTGGAGGCCGTCAAGGCGTCTTGGACAGATCGTTCGGCGATTCGGGGTTCTCTTGGACTGTCTTTGGGGCCTCTTGGGGCACTCCAGGCCCGTGTTGGGGCTTTTCTGGGCTCCGGGACTCCCCAGGGGGGCGTCTGACCCCCCCGGGACCCCGCCCCCCCCCCCCCCCTGCGGGGAAGGGATCGAAGGGAAGGGGCTTCCCTTTGACTCAATTACGACGTTGCTCAACTTCGCTTTGGTTGGCGCGCTGAGGAGGTCCCTGGAGAAGGGGGGAGCTTCGACGAGCTCAGGGAAAGGGAGAGGCAGGGAAAGGGGACGACAGAGACGACGGCCAACGAATGACGGAGATGACGACTTGAACGGACAAGCCCCTCACACACGCCGACAGGGTCGGCGGATTTGGCATGGATGGCCCGTTTAGCGCACGCGTGACTCTCACTGTGTTGTTTGGCAGGGGCGGTGTCCGTTTAGCGCGCGCGTGTGTGGAGCGTAGAGTGACATTTGGCAAGGAGAGTGCACGCGCGTGAACCGCATGGTATGACTTGACAGGGGCGGTGCCCGTGCAGCGCGTGCGTGTGGCCCGCATGGTTGAGTTTCATATGGGGATGTGGCCAGCAGGTTCTCTTTCTTCGGAAAAGTGGCCCGGGCTGGATCGGGTGTGGTGGGAGGGGGTTGCGGTAGGAAGGGATGGGGGGGCGAGAGGATGAAACGGGAGAGGAGGGGAGGGGAGGTATGGGGGGGGGACGACGAGAGGGGAAGATAGGGATAGAGGGCCATCACAAACACACGCATTTTCGTCGCACTTACAACCGTCAGATGAAACATACCATGCCGAGATGATTGTCAACGATCCCCGCGAGCGCTGGCGAGTTAAGAAGCTGGCATGATGCTTCTCGTCGTAATTAGACGCGCCTGCAACCCCAACAGCGCCTCAGCGGAAGCCTCATCTCAAGAGAGCGTCAGCATTCGTCCTCGAACTTGCTGGCAGCCTCTGCTATGAGTTTCCACGGCATTTCACTCGGGCTGGCACTGTTCAAGGATGCACGTTGCCGAGCAGCACAGTTGTGGTTATGTGCAGTACAAGGCGAAATATTGGTACGAGCTGAAATGAACGCTGTGATGTCGTTCGTGGTTTCACCTTCTCGCGCCGACTTGGGACAAATGTCCAGGCAATTATTGGCACGGGTAGCGCTTGCCTGTCCCAGCCGCGTGACTGGTGCAGTCTCGCGGATGCTGTTGCGCGCTCGGCACGTGCTGGGGTGTGTTGCTAGAAAAACATCGTGGTGATATTTAGTGCTCGCGGATAAGGCAGTCATATTCGCCTGGGGATGCTTGAAAGGTGTTGAAATAAATGCCATAATGAATAATCAGCAGTGCGTTGGCGGAAACACGAAGCTTGACATGTGAGGAAAGTTGAGTATCGAGTCCCCGTAGCGCTCCACGCAAGTCAGTGCTGGAAAAGAGATCGGCCTCCCCGATCTCTCGCGACCGTCAAGGCGGGGGTAAGCCCCCTCTGTCCTACCTCCTCTTCTCTCCCCTTCTCTATCCTTCCATCCTGCCTTCTTCGCCCCCCTCCCTTCCTGTCCCCTTCCCTGCATCCCCCCCCTTTCTGCTGAAACGCTGCCTCTCCTGCGCCTGTAACCTCCCCCCCCTCCCCCCGCCCTCCCCCCCCTCCCCCCCCCCTTCGCACCCCCCTTCCCCTCGAACCGCTGCCCACCTCCCCCCTCCCCCCCCTCTCCTGGGCCCTGCCCCCTCCCCCCCATCCCTCCCACTCCCCTTCCCCCCCCCCCCCTCTCCTCGCAAGCCGCCCCTCGCCCCTCCCCTTGAGCCTCCCCCTCCCTCCTCGGCACCCCTCTCTCCGTTGAGCGTGCCCGCCCGCCCCCGTCAGGCCCGTGCGCTTCTCGGCCGGCCCCGGAGAGGGCAAAGGCGCCGCCGCTAGCATGCCGCCGCGAGGCAGGAGGAGGGGGAGGAGGAGGGAGAGGAGGAGGAGGAGGAGGAGGAGGAGGAGGAGGAGGAGGAGGAGCACGAGGAGTGAGCGAGTGAGTGAGTGACGTCACCACGAGGTGATATCTTGATTCATAAACTACCCGCTGCTCTTGCTCGAAGTTCCCCGCAATAATGTACGTTCATGGCGGGAAGTGCCCCGTTGGAAGACAGCATCCTGAGAATCTTCAATCGTGCCAAAACGCAGTTCTTGGCACGTCAACACCGCGAATCAACGTGACTGTTGCGTCACGACTGTCTTGAATTGTGCCAGAAGGCCGCTCCTGGGATTTCCGCACCGCGAATCAACGTGACCGTTGCGTCCTGACAACTTCAAATCCTGCCAGCACACCATTCCTGGGATGTCAACCATACGAATCCTTGAAAGT